GGTTGGAGCGGGCTCCTGCCCAGCCCCTGACAGCATGCCGGATTTCTCAGGGGTGACAGGAATGGGGATCTAATGGGAGAGACCCCTGGATGCCATGGGGGGGGGTGGAGAAAAGTCCCACCTCTCCACCCCCTAATTGGGAGCTAGAGAGTAGGAAACCCCTCTCCTGGCCTGGATCCTGCTGCAAGAGGGTGTCCCAGCTGTGTCAGGGTAGGGCAGCCCCTAGGCTCAGTCTTGCCATGTGACATGGGCCCCAAGCACAGCTGAGGATCTGGAGTCAGGGTCCCCACAGAAGGAGCCTAGGCCCTGGGGGCAGGGGGCAAGGAGGTGGTTCCAAGAGGGACTGCCAGGAGTCCAGAGCCCCTGCTGTGGCAATGCCTCCACCGCAGCAGCTGCCTCCCCTCCCAGCCCCACAGATGTCTCCTGCCCCTGCACCTGCCCCCACCCTGCAGCCCTTTCATGTGGATAGTGCTCTGGGATCACACACCTATCCAGCTCCTCTGGACTTGCCAACACAAAACAGGTTGGTGACATAGTGAAGATGGCTGGGGGTGGCCAGCTTCATGATGGCAATGGCCACCTGCTTCTCTGGACTGAGAGATGGCTGCATGCTGATGTCCTGATGTGCAATGTGGGCAGCCACCTGGGGCAACAAGATTCATAAAGGTCATCCAGAGCATCCAGGTCTGGACTCACTGTTCATCATCCCAGGTGTTCAGGATGATCCACTCCCACCAGTCACTGCTGGAGACACAGGCCCAGAACTGGTGCTTGATGTTCTAGAGGCAAGGCCAGAGCACCCCATCTTCTATAGGACCTGGGGTGGCTTTTTCATCATTGACCCTTTGTAACTTGGTGGCTCAGTCCAGGATGCTTGGCCAGCACATGGCCAGCTGCTGGCTCAGGGGCAGGAAGCCACTTCCCATGGTGACCAGCTGCTACATCACATTCAGATGGCCATGTGTGATGTCCCGCAGCTTCCTTCAAGAGTCACATAGGCTGACAAGCAGGATATGCCACAGGTCCTGGATCTGGGTGCTTGAGCGCAGGCAATGGGAAATCTACAGCAGGGTGCAGATGGGCGGGGACACGGAGGCCTGTGCAATTAACAAAGGAAGAGACAGGTCACAGGGGTGGGCGGATTAGAACAGGATGGGTTTCAATACTGACAAGTGCAAGGTACTGCACCTGGGGAGGAAGAACCAGCAGCACACCTAGAGGCTGGGGAACTCCCTTCTCATCAGGGCAGAGGCAGAAAAGGGTC